TCTATACACTTCAAAAAAGTGAGATTTTTTAGAAAGAATCTATAAGATGAGGTGCTAAATTTGTTAAGGATAGCAGAAGAATTGTTTTTAAAAATGGCTATTTCAATTTCAGATTTGAATTTGTTATTGGACAACTAAGTTCTTACTGACTTTTGATGACAAACATGGGTTAGGTTCCATATTGAAGGAATTGCATATCCAATTTCAAACAGTGCTAGACTGAGCATAACCTCAGCATTAACTGAGCAGGATCCTCCCTAGAAAGAAGGATCCAAAAAAAGATRTGCTTTTACAGACCAAAATACTTTGACATCACTGAAAACCCAACAGAAAAATTCAGTCTGAAATTAAACTTTTTTTTTTTTTTCCAGCCTCCTCTGACTTTTAATTACTTAACACATCTGCTGAGCAGATGATAAAAAACTACACTGAATACTTATGAAGGTGCAATAGGGTATGAAGCTTGCCTACCAATCCAGTTGCATATGCAGAATTGCAAAATAGAATAAAGAGTACTTAAGTTTTTGGTGCTTCAAGGACAGATTTATGAAGGAACATACATTTGACTTCCTTCAAAAAAAAAGGTCTTTTTATGTTTGAAAGACATGTATGAAACACTTGTGTTTATTTGTCTAACAAGTCTTCAAAATCCTGGAGATTCATAAAGTGCAAATAGACTTTGGGGCAGTCCTAGCTGCAGGTAAATCATTTCATTTTCTAAAACAGCTGGCTTAGATGGATGATGTCCAGCTTTTCTTCCAGGGGTACAAACCAGTGACCTCATATTTTCAATTTCAGACATAGCTATCAACACTCCTCCTGTTAAATTTTGTTTTTGCAAAGCGGGATCCGCTCCTCTGCTTTGATCACATAGCCAGCCCTTGGAAGAACTGTCTGCTCGCATTATTAAATGAGCAGATGAGTAAAATTCAGCTCGGATTTACATCCTTCCCTCCTCTGATAGCTCTTATTTCTTCTAATCCGCAAGGGGGGATTTGGATGAATTTCAGTTAAGGGTTGAAACACCCAAACACCRTTAAACAGTCGGGGTAGCTCATATGCCCACATACACAGCTCTGCTAAGTTGCTTTAATCACAGCATACACAAGACGAGACTTTTTCTTAACCTGTGACCTTCCTTCCACAGAATTCAGTGCCAAATACAGCAAGTGATGCTCAATTTTTGCTCTTAATTTACTCTAGTGAAAATCAAAGGGATTATAACATGAGTAACAGAATCATACCACTGTGATTCCACAGTATGTGGAATATATTTAGTTGCCATTACATAAAATTGAAATTCKAATTAGTTAAATTAACATTATTTATCCAGTGTTTCCAGTAGCACCTACACAGTGTTATGTCAGGTTCTGCACAAACAAAAAGGAAGTCCTAATTCCTCCTTCCAGCATTCATGTCATAACCTRAATTATTAATCAAACAGCAATGAAGTCCTCACTGCTGTTTTTCATATTGGTGATTTTTTTTCAAGGGTAACACTGCTCCACTAATCAAAATTTTAAATTTACTTTGAGCTACACAAACCAAACTAGTCCTTTTTTTAGCGTTTATGTAATTAAAACATACCCAAATGCGGAACAAAAAAAAAAAAAAAAAAAAACAGATCTGATATGGAAAACGAACCTTAAAGTAATGTCTACCTTCACATTCTGGACTGGCATATTTGAAAAGGGATGGCAGGTACATGTTTCAATCTCAAATTTCATGACATACCTACATATTTTGAACCATACTTCTGACAATATTAGGAAATTATRATATAAAACACTTTAGTTAACTTTCAGTTCTCACCAAACTTGTCTTAGTCTGCTTCACTTCTTAATGTAATGCACAGTTTAGATGGTTTGGGGATGTTCATGGTTTCAAGGGGCAAAAAAAGTAAGATTATGGGAGAAAAAAAAAAGAAAAGAAAAAAATACATTGAGAAGAATAGACACCTTGAGAAGGATGACCACGTTGTCTGATGTGAAATGCAATCAAGCAAAATAGCCCCTGTCATTGCTCCTCCCAGCCATACCCTCCTCCTCTCTCCTTGTCTCCCCTCCTCCAAGCATTCCGGCTGGTCCCAGGCAAGTCAAAGTATTTGCAAGCAGCATCATTTCACACTGACTGACTCTACGTTCTGTAAGAGCATTTCAAACTCTAATTACTTCTAGACACCTATTGCTTTGGAATAATGCATACATCCTTGATCTTTCAAAAGAACATCAGCAAAAACTGGCAGTGATTTGTAGAAATGAGGGAAAATGAGTGGATTATCAGCACTCAGGTAGCATCTGCCGTCTGGATGGGCTTAATGCGTGACAAGATTTGGGCAGGAGGTTGTGGTAGTTGACCTCAGAGCACAGGTTCATTTGCTTAAAGACATGTCACTGTAAATGCAGTGTGATTTGCTGGCATACCACRCCGTCTGGTGTGCTAGGCTCTGCTCAGAGCGACCTCAGAAAGGAGTTCAAAGATAATTAAAAGTATCTTTAAGATGTTTTGACTTCAAGCACGTGTGAGGTCTCAGCCAATCCAAAACAACCCTGCTCGTTGCAGGTGCCTTTTGGATGCTGTGTCACTTGAAATAGCTGGAGGATGGCAGTGCATCCGGCCACATCTTCCCCCCCATTCTGCAGCAAGTTTCATTAAGACAGATGCGACATACACCCAAGATAATCAAAAAAGTGAAAATATTGTTCCCATCCTCCACAACAACAACAAAAAAAGTTATAGTCTATTCAACAAAATTAGCTGAAAAAAGAAAACAAAAGAAAAAGAAATCTAGCATAACCTACAAAGTTTCAGCTTAGTCTGCTCCTACTTGGTATTTTTTTGATTCTTCTGCTCTTTAATAGTGCAAAGGAGTTAAAATCCACACCCCATTTTCCTAGGTGTCTTGTAAAACTGAATAAATGATTCATTGTATCAACACATTAGCATCATTATCTTTGGTATRAGCATCAGGAATAAAATTAAGCCAAATTTTGCAAATTTTGCATCAGTAAAGAAAAATGATGCAAGTTTTCTGCTTCTGAAGAAAACTTCAGTGAAATAAAAATAAGGAGACCTCACTGATCTTTTTTTTCTCCTCCATTTCAAACCTATCCCTTTCTTGTTCAGACCAAGATCACAGATTAAATTCATTTTACCTACTTAAGATCCCTGCCAGAACAAGAGCCTTTAGGAGAAGTGCTGTGAACTGAAGATTTAATGTGACCAAAGCACTGAAACAGAAAGTAGGCTTAACCTCCTTTTCTTATTACTTAAAATGAGAATTACCCAAAAGTAACAATTTCTGACAGTGTTCAGAGAATTAAAATTTTCTTCACTGTTTCACAAAGTGCATTTCTTTGTGCTTKGGGTGACTTAAAACAGGAATATTTTCACCTAAATTCAAGATCATTCTCTACTGGTGACAATGAACTTAATGAATTGCTTGACTAAGTTATGTAGAGTTTGGTTTAGGTAAAGGACACACTAAAAAATGCTTCARATAGAGGAGGAAAAGGCAGGGCACTTTCCACTTAGCCATTCAGATCCAATGATATTACTCATTCATAGCAGCTCCAGTAGTTATTCCATTAGTTTCCCTCCAAAAGAACATTCCTTTGCGTCCAATATGCAATTGTACATGTATGTCAACTGCTGCACAGGCTTCCAAATGCCCACAGGGATCCAAGACACCATGAGTCACTGTTGACTGATGAGGACTATTTCACAAAGGCCTCTACTACAATTTAAAGAAAAACTCATATTTTTCCTTGATGGTCACAAACTAACATAGTTAGTGGTATACTCTAGAGATTTTTTTTTAATTCACTTAAACTTGAACAAGCCACTGATTCAGTGTTTCCAAACTAAAGTAATACTGGGTGGATCCAACTTCTAAGGAGCGAGTTTTCAGCTAGTGGAAACTGGTATAGCCCTCTTGCTTTCAGTAGACCTAAATTAATTTACAGCAGATGCGGATACAACTTGAAATTAGGTGAAGTTAGTGTCTCTTCAAAACTCTGCATTATCTGGCAGGATTTTGATTAAATCCAGAATAAAGCAGCATCATATAACAACATTTCTACAAATGTAGAATATGCTAGGACGACATTACAAAGTAGTATCGTGACATTCTCTGGTAGACTGGGGAAATGACTCCCTGACCTGATGATCAGGAAGTTTCCTATTGACTGACAGACGTGGAGAGAACTTCAAGAATAAAGTGGCTCACTGCTCCATCAGTGAATCCTGTAGCTCCAGGGAGCATTACCAGTCTGTATAACCAGTGCATTAAATATTTCTGAGATTATGTGCATCAGTTTGCCCACGTATTGTRAACATTTCTCTTTCCTCTGCTGTCAAATAATTATTCAAGAAAAAGAAAACATTTTGCTTTGCTTTTTTTTTTTCCCTTAAACAAAAGTAATTCCAGCAGCAGCTGACATATTACTTCTACTATAATGACAAACACTTGCATTTATGTCCTAGCCAGTCTAATTACRAAATGCATCAGGGTAGATGTGTTTTGTTTTTGTAGCCACTAATACTAATTTGACCTACTGGGGAAACAATTTCAAAATGTCAACATTTGCATGCCCGAACCCTGCTATGAACTAGAAGGAGTTGTGTGTGGAGGTCCTGCCTCAAGCTGTGACACACTACTTACCTCCTCAGAGGGAGTTAACACACTAATTTGAACAAATAAAATTAAACCAGCCATCTCTCCACAGTGGTCAGAGGAAAATCACCCTGCTCATATTGGTTGATGGCAGTTTAAGTGGGATATTACTTAATTAAACTGTGCTATGACAGCTAATAAGACAGTTAAATAAGAAGCATATAAACACCCCACAGTACAGCAGATCTTCAAGCTTGGGCATAAATATAAGCATGGTACCCAGTTCCCTAAAAGAAGGTTACTGTTGCCCCTTTTAAAAGCTTTGAGATTTAAGGCAATAATTTATACTTTTGCTGCATATGCTAGTTTCTGCAGATGTACTTACCAGAATGTACTCCCGAGATTCAGATGCTAACAAATTCAAAAAGAAATCTGGTAGAAAGGCCCCAAAGTTGAGGAACCTTGCATCTGCTCCACCGCTGAGTTCAACTAGTTCATGACCCCGGAGGTCTAATCCAAAACCAAGTGAAGGCAGTGGGATTCTACTGATTGTGCTGAAAACTGTATCAAGCCAATAGATTAAGGATATGGTTCCTGCAGGACCTATGTTTTCAGGAACTTCCTCCAAAACATTTACCCTTATAACCCCAAAAACWTTTCTTTTAATGTAATTTAAGCTAAAATGAATGCTCTTGACAGATGTCACCAGGTGACACTTGTACAAAGAATCACAGAAAGGTCGAGGTTGGAAGGGACCTCTAGAGATCACCTAGCCCAACCCCCCTGCTCAAGCAGGGACACCTAGAGCACACGTGGTGCTCCAAATATTTCTCTTATCTTCTGATTTAATGCTCAATCTGACACACTTTGCAATGGTCTCTGTAAGGGAAATACTATTAGYAGCAGGAGTTTTTTAGTTTGTCTTAGTTTGCAACTGATACAAGTCGAGGGTCATCTTTGAGAAGAAGAATTTTGTGTTGGCTGAAAATTTCAAKAAGATATTAATGCCCTACTAATGTTATTTTAGAATTCTGTTCCAGAGTAACACTAAAATAATGGATGCTATCCAATATATCTGACTTGGGCCTAAATCTTAGTTAAGCGATGAGGCAGTTTGCCTAAAGTAAATGTTACATGATTCAGTGGAAGTTGCAAGGTTCCCCTGAGGTTCCTCACAAAGAGATCAAGTCTTCCTGMCTAAATTTAAGATTCTAAATTATGATAAACAAATCATATTTATTTCTATTAAGAAGATAACAGCATTAAAGTGAATTGAATCATTTTAATTGTAGGTATTCATTAATTGTCCCTACTTACAGAATATGCTTTTTTACCTTCTTTAATGCACAGAATGGATGGAACATGAAATTATTATTCTCTTTTTCAGCTTGTTCAGTATGTGCCCTATTGACTACACAGCAGTCAAATGGCTCTGACTGAATCATAAACTTTATTATATTTTTTAAAACATTCCTGCGAAATGAAGGAGAGGGTATTACTGCTTCTACTATGTAAACACAAAGTGAGTGAAATGAAAGTACCCTAGAATACCAGGYATTCAGTTTGATTCAACAAGCCTTCATCTTTGAAAATGCTTAGTATTGTGGGCTACATGTTTTCAAAACACAAACCCACAAAAAGGCTTCTGCAAACCTCCAGGGCAGGTAGTCAGGGAGCTAGGAAAAGGAGTAACTCTCAGTCCATGACTATCCAGATTATCACATAAGAATGAGAGAAAAAGAGAATAGTTTAGGTCTCTTAGACCTATCTCAGATGCCTTAACCTTTTGTTCCTTTGCTTCACTCATCACACCAACACTAGATTTTGCAGTAAATGAATGAGGTATGCTTTACATAGCACAACATTTTGATTCCTTCTCTGTTCCATCCTGTGCAGGGAATCAGGAGTCCCAGAGGAATAACTGCTTAAAATTGTATGAGATTGATGCAGCTCCTACATGAAATAAGCTTTTGAATCTTACAGACACATGAAGAGCAGAAGGCTCCCTTCTGGAATGAGATCCAGTGGAGATTGTGGTCCAGACTTCATGCTACATACTCTCATCCAGAAATCACCATGTTGGCCAAAAAAAAAAAAAAAAAAAARAAAAAAGAAACATCATGAAGCAGAATACAGCATATAAACTTTCTGTCCTAACTGTTCAGGGCTATAAGAAATTGAAACCATTTACTTATCATGGGAAATAGCAGGCATGCTTAATTAGTGTTCAAATAATAAGACACTTACTAGTGTCATTACTTAGTATGCCTTTACATGTAYATAAAAATATCAGTTATGCTTTGAATAATATTTGATAGCCATAGAAGTATGAAGAAGTGAATGACTTCTTCCAGTCTTGAGTACTTAGCATATGCTCAACTCCTGCTGAAGCCAAGGGTATTGAATTCCTGTTTCAGATTATATACACTAAAACGTCCCCATAAATCAGGAACATATAGTGTTTTGCAGGTAAGAGGGCTAAGTTATATTTATGAAGCACAAGTGAAACAAAATGGACAACTAGAGTTTCTTCACATGAGAAACCTCCATATCTGCATGTACATCCTAATTCCTCTATAATCCTGAGTGGTTTACCTCTTAAAATAAACAGACTCTACCTTATGTCCTTACTGGATTACTGTGAGTAAGATGTTTACATAAAGGATATAGCTAAGTATTCACTGAACGTAAGAGTGCAATTCATTCCCAAGCATTAGAGGCCATTATATTTTGGTGGCTATATCTGAATAAGCCACCATTTAAATAAGCCAGCAATTACTACCTAATGTTGATACTCTCTGTCCAATCCTTGCCCTCCGGAGTTTGATTCATTGAATCTAAACTACCACTACTCATAGAGCATAAATACATAGATGACCATTTTGTATAAGAGATGGTAACCATAATTTATTATCTAGGTGTATTAGACCCCAATTTAGTAAACTATTACTTATGCAGATAATAATAATAATAATTACACTGAATTTAATCCTTCATGCAAAGATCTAACCTCATTCTAATACAGAATAGGACTTGAGTCTCACTCTCAATCATTTCCTCTGGCAGTATAGAAGCATTTCCAAATGGAAATAAACATATTAATAATCCCTTGTGCTCTTCCAGTTGTGCTCTTGCAGTGGAAAAATATAATAAATATAAYAAGATGAAATAATAATAATAGTAATAGTAATAGACTGCTAAAGGTGATTTAAATGATGTCTTCAATTACTTGTAATTAGAGAGAAGTGAGAATGAGATCTTTATCACTGGTGTACAGTGGAAGGACAGGAGGTAACATGCACAAACTGCAACAGAGGAAATACTGAAAGGGGTATAAGGAAAATAAATCTTGACAGAGAGAATGGTCAGACAGTGGTACAAGATGTCAGAGAAGCTATAGACTATCCATCCATAGGAGTTCGCAAAATTTACTGCAAAAGACACYGAACAGAGTTAGGCCCTCATCTAACTCTGAGGACAGCCTTGACATAAGCAGGGAGGTTGGAATGGTCATTTCCAAATAATATTTTTTGTTTGTTTGTTTGTTTTTCCAAGATTCAAATATATTGATTTAACTTTGACAAATTTGCACCAAGAATAATACTCCAGTACAGGCATATTCCTCCTAGAGAAAAAAAAAAAAATGAAAACTCATTGATCTCTCAAAGTTGATTTTGAGCTTTTCCTGAGCTTTTCTTCACAACAAGCAAAAGCATAAAATTATCACATTGAGACCAGAAGAAATGTGACATGATAAAGCAAGTCAAAAAATACGATAGCGATAAAGAATAGTTAGCACTGTTTCTACATTAGTGGGCAAATGAGGATTTGTATTCTTTTTTGAAAAAGACTGGATAGAAATATTAAATGTTGCATTGCAGTATATATGTGTCAGACACAGGGAGTCAGATATATTTCAGGCCAAACTCTCAACTAGCAAGAGTATATTGCAATAAACCTGTGTAGAAATTCAGCTACTTATCATATTTTCATTCAATATCTTCTCATTTATTCTCAGCCATAACTTCCCTTTAAAAACAACATTTACAAGTCATACAAACATAAGCAGGTGATAATTGCTCTATATTAGTATCTTCTACATATAGTGCCTTATTCCTTTCATCTGATTTTTGTCTTCAGGTGAAAGAAATACATCACTGTGACTCATTATTAATAATAATTACCTTTACTACATTACCATACAGTTCACTCAGCATAAATTACTACTGAGAACTGCATTATGAGATGTATTATATCTCTATTAAAAAGGCACTTTTAAAAATTTTCATTGGATGAGGTGGCAATTATTACTCAAAGGAGACAGAGGTAACCACCATGCTAGTGATGATTAAGTTACAGTCTCAGCATGCAGAACAAATTTTGGTCCTACTGACTCCAGCATGCCCAAGATCCCACTCTAGCATCTGTGCTGCATGCATAAAGATCACAGTGGGACTTAGAATTTAAGGAACCAGAACTAGTGGATTAATAGTCTGTTTTGTACAAGGGTAGTTAGGAAGACACAGCAAAGGCRCTTGTTAGTACTGAGTTCAGAATGCAAAAACAAACAATAAATGTTGTACTAACACTGTAATGCAGYATAGCTGTTTAAGAAACAAGGCAATGTTGATATGGAGACAAAAGAACTGCAACATTAAGGACAACTCATTTTCCTTTTATGGCTCATTGCTGCCTGGCTGAACATTGCGTCTAACTTTGTGTTTTCAGAACGCGCTGGATTTAGGAAAACTCTTTTGTTCCACTTGCAGCCCACATGCTGACGCMGCATCTCCTCTCCTGTTGTTCCACCTCCTAACTATTAGCTGCTACATTTGATGAGCTAAAAGATAAAAGCGCACAAATTCCAGTTACTTTAGAGATAGCAAAAGAGAAATTACTGAGCAAAAGAARGGCTAAAGATGGGCTGTTTCTGCAGGGTGCGAGACCCACAAGTGCGAGTTCAGATCTGCTAAGTCGGAGCTCTTTGCTGGGGCTCTGTTGTGCACCAAATGATCTCACCCCTCCGAACTCCCACACACTGACATACGGGGAAGAGCAGGCTTAACCAGTCTTCAATTCTTATACCAGTTTAGACTCCAAGTAGATTGTGGCATTAGGAAAGAAGAAACTCTTTGGGATCTATGTCYTGAAGAAACAGATTTATTCAAGGTTAATAAATTCCTCTACTGACTTTTTTCATGGATGCTGTAGTGCTAGTGAAGAGTGAACAGTGACCTCACAAYGAAGAGCTGGATGCTAAAAGGTCTTTCAAAGTCCTTCACCATCTGTTAGGCTATAGTGCTGGGTTGAAAGGAGCAGCTCCCATATAATTATTGCCCTGAAAATTTTTGAGAGACAAATGCACCTCAAAGTTTGAGCCCCTAGAGCCCCATACTTTTAACCTGCCTTTTTTTTTGCCTACT